AGCGCGTGACGGTAGGACGAGCAGCACGAAGGGAGTCAGACTCCGGGTACGGACCGTCAAGAAGAGAGGACGCAGGAGGAGAGGGCAGAGGGACACGCTGTGGAGCAGTGGAAGGACGCAGTGTCATAGAGTGAGTGCTAGGGACAGGAGGAGGACGCGGACGCAACACACGACCAGTGCAAGCAGGGCGGACAGGCGACGCAGCACGAGACACAGGCGACATAGGACGCGACTCAGGCTCACGACGCTCCGTAAGACCTCTAGTCGGTCCAGAGTAAGGAGAAGGACCAGGCAGTAAAGAGGCTGGCTGTAACTGCAACTGTGACTGGACAGGCGGTGGACTCAGTTAGGGAGGAGTAGGACCAGTAGAAGGCGGGAGACCAAGAACCTGCGGTAGGGAAAGAGACGGTAGTAAGACACCGACTCGTCAAACGTGACGTCCTGAGAGGACAGAACACGACGCGAGGTGGGGTGGTAGAACTGCCACCCGGGTGCGTCAGGGGGGGAGCCAAGGAAGACGCAGGGAACGGCACGGGAGGACAGCTTGTCCGCGAAAGGATCGCGGACAAAAGCTCGAGATCCCCAGACACGGAACGCGGACGCATCGCCAACCTTCCCCGTCTACCGCAGAGTAGGTGTGGTCTCCGGCAAGGAGACACGAGGCTGAAGGTTGATCTGATGCGCAGCGTACTGAACCGCAAACGGCCACAGAAAATGGGGAGCAGCCGCATGGATCATGGACGTACGAGCGACGTCCATGACCATGCCAATGCGGCGCTCAGCAATCCCATTTTGCTGTGGGGAGGCTGGAAGCGTGAACGTCTGGCGGATGCCCTCCGCTCGACAGAAGGCCCTCAGAAGGTCGAAGGAAAACTCACCACCTCTGTCTGAGTGCAGACGCAGAATAGGAAGGTCCGAGCCGAAACGCTCGTTGAGGTGACGACGGGCACCGCGGATCCAGTCGATCAGCACCTCAGTGACCTCACCCTTGCTGCGCAAGGGGAAGACTGTGGTGTAACGCGAGTAGTCGTCAACGACCAGCAAGAAGTAACGCTCGTGACCCTGTCCACGGACGCGGGCTGGGCCCCACACGTCCATGTGAAGAGTCTGCAGGGGAGCCTCTGTCGGAGGGAACGTGGAGGAGTGAGGAGCGGCGCGCTGCCGGCCCTCGACACAAGGAACACAGGTAGGGGCAGGCCCCGGAGGAAGGGGAGGGAGGGACCGGGGGAGACCCGAGACAAGGGTACGGGAGGCCATACCTCGAAGACGAGGCAAGGAGGGGTGACCAAGGCGGTGGTGCCAAAGGAGAGTCTCGTGCGACAGAGGACGACACGAGCAGGGGGCAGACGCAGGACTAGACCTGGACGCGGCAGCAAACACCTGACTAGACGCGGCTACCTGACCAGACGCAGAGACCGGAGCAGACGCAGTAGTCAGTGTGTACAGACTCGACCCAGGCCGACGGGTGAACGTGGCCAGGTGGCGGCCCATCCGAGAGCAAGTGCAGTGGGTCACACGCTGACCTCCAGGGGTGAACTGGTCAACCCACGCGTCCTGGAGGTCAGCTCCACTCACCAGGTTCGTAGAGAACGAGGGGAGGTGGAGTCCCGACAGCAAGCCCGACGGGGCCGCAGGACATGGTAGAACCGTGGAAGAGTGTGCAAGGACTGGACCCCCAGAGGGGTCAGCCAGGGAGACTGCGACTGGCCGACTGAGCGGCGTGAGTGTGGTGCTGTCGCGAAAGAAAGAGCGCGAGGCACCAGAGTCAAGTGTGAAAGTGTGTAAGGCCTCAGTAGGTGCAGTACCAAAGAAAGCAGACTCACCAGCACCTGGAGCAGTAGACTCACCAGCACCTGGAGCAGCAGCCGCACTAGCACCTAGAGCAGCAGCCTCAATGCACGGGTCGAGCGGAACACTCAGGTAACAGTCACCCTCAGCACTATCAGTCAAAGCATACATGGCACCAAGGATAGCATCGAAATCAAGATCAAAGATAGCCACATTCTGCCTAAGCAGATCACCGCAGCGAGGGAGCTCAACAGCGTCAGGAAACTGGGCGCGCCAGGCGTCAGTCAGGCGACCGAAGCAGCGCTGCGCAGTGTGTGGCAGCCCACACGTCTCCCCACGACGGCCGCCAGTGCGAAGAACGTAAGTGCAGGGACCAGCACCCCCAGACCTCCCACGCCCAGCGTACCACTCACGAAGCTGCTGGGCCGACGGGGTCTCACAGGAACGGGGCTGCTGCTGGCGTTGGCTACCACCAAAGCCTCCACGCTGCGCGGCTGCACCTCGACCAGCACCACCGCCACCGCCACCTCCACCACCGCTGCCGCTGCCTCCACCACCGCTGCCGCTGCCTCCACCACCGCTGCCACTGCCTCCACCACCTCTGCCGCTGCCGCCACCACCTCCACCGCCGCCACTGAAGCCCCCACTCCCGGCACCACCCCCACCTCCACCGCCACCCCCGCCGCCTCCTCCACCGCCTCCACCGCCGCCCCCGCCATCCCCTCCACCACCCTTGTTCCCCTTGCCCTTGCTGTTGCGGCGCCTCCCACTAGGAGCAGACGCAGCCCCGACCTCCTCAGTGCCAACGAGGTCGACAGCAGCAGCAGAAGAAACAGAGGGGAGAAGGGGGACAGGGGAACACCCCTCAAAGAAAGAGGTGCGACGGTCGCCGCGAGAAGCACCTATAGCTAATATACTCTTCTCAGCTGCAGCGAGGCGCTCCTCTAGCAGGTCAACAGTGAGCTCGGTGGGGCAAAGGGAGAGAAAGTGGTCCCTGACTGAAGCAAGGGAGTCAGGGAGGCGGGTGACTAGGTAGTAAAGGGTGATGTACATGGGGGGGGGGGGTTCTTGGCACAGAACTCAGTGGGAAGGGCAGCGCGGTAGTGGGCGTCACTAGTGCGGAGGTGAGTAATGAGGTCAGCGACTGTGGCAAATGCGGCAAGGTCAGGGAAAAGGTACGGCAGCATGAGGCGGCTGAGGGCAGCAGTGGCAGGGGAGGAGTAGCGCGCAACTACAGCGTCGTACAAAGACTTAGCAGTCTTGTACTGGCCAAAATGCGCGCATTCAGCAGGCGGCAGGTGACTACGAACAGCAAGGCGAGCAACAGCGTCACGAGTGGTCCACTGCGAGTGAACAGCACTGTCAGCAGTGGCAGCAGGAGCAGTGGAGACACCGGACGTGTGATCGAAAAGGGATACCCCATCCCTAGAGTCACACTGAAGAAAGAGCTGCAGGTCATCAACCCACACGTCAAACTCAACTACACGCCCCTCAGCATCAAAGGTGAGAACAGTGGGGCTAGTCATAGTAGCAGTAGCAGCAGTAGCAGCATGAGCAGCAGAGGCAGCAGAAGCAGCAGTGGCAGTAGGCGCAGTGCAAGGAGAAGGGCAGCGCGGCTCGGATTGGCGGCGCGGCTCGGCTGGGCAGCGCGGCTCGGTGGGGTGGCGCGGCTCGGCTGGGCGGCGCGGCTCGGTTCCTGGCGGCGCGGCGCGGCGCGGCAGGGCAGCAGGCGGTGGGGCGGCTCGGGTGCTTACCAGGGGCGGGTGCAGGGCAGGGCCGCAGCTGGTGGTTGTAGGTCAGGGCCGCGACAGGGGGCGGTTGCAGGGCAGGGCCGCGACAGGGGGCGGCTGCAGGGCAGGGCCGCAACAGGGGGCGGCTGCAGGACAGGGCCGCGGCAGGCGGCGACCGTGCCGACGAAGGGCGGCGAACGGGCCGTGACGGGCGGCAAAGAGACCGACGGGCGGGCCGGAACAGGCGGTCGACGGGCGGCAAAGGGGCCGGGACGGGCCGGCGACGGGCCGGGACGGGCCGAGACGGGTCGGGACGGGTGGCAAAGGGGCCGACGGGCGGCAAAGGGGCCGTGACGGGCAGCTAATGGGCCAGCGACGGGCGGCAAGGGGGCCGTGACGGGCGGAAAAGGGGCCGCGACAGGCTGAAAAGGGGCCGCGACGCGTGGCGACGGGCCAGCGACGGGCGTCTAAGGCAGGGCGCGATGCGCGCTTCGGGCAGGGCAGGAGAAATTTCGTGGTGGGCCCAAAAAAAAAAAAAAAAAAAAAAAAAAACGTTCCCACTGGGTAACCTGCTCAGAATACCATGTTAGAATATAGAACGGAATAAAATGAACTAGGAAGCAGGTGGGTACAAGTAACAAACCTATAAGTGTTGTACCCTATATGAACTACCCCACTACAGCCTAGATAGACTATAGCATATAAGTTTGACAGAGGTAGACGACGACATCCAAGCAGACGGGTTCTGGTGCAACAACGCCACAGAGCCTGAATCTAAGGCTAGGCTAGCAAGAATGCGCTTATAATAAGTAACGATTTTACAAGGGGTGCGCTTCTAATTGAGGATCGGCCATAAGCGCATTGCTCCAGATATAAGCGCATGCGCTATTAATAGGCCTGCAGTTATATCCGGGGCGATACGGTACGTGGTGAAGTCAAGTGCGACGTAACGATTTTGAGAATTTCCTTACACTTTATGGGAAATGGCAAAGGGATTTTACTAAACTGCGGATACGTGGGCTTGTATTGAGAGTTGGCGAATTCTCTGGTGGCTAACCACCGTGGCTTTCGAGGCCAACAGGCAAAAGAAGCAATAACCAGAATCTACCTTTCCCCGCCGCCTTGACGTTCCCCCCTGACACCAGTCCTTGCCTCCTTCCCTCTTCCCGCACTTTCACACCCCTGTCCGCTTCCATGCCTTCCCCAAATTCCCCCGACGCGTTCTTCCGCAATCCGCCACGATTTCCCCGATTCCCTCTCCCCCCTCCTCTTTCCGCCTTCCTTCTCCTGCTCTTCCCCCCTTCCCTTCCCCGTTCCCCCATCTCGCCCTCAACTCAACCCTAACTCAAATCTGCTCCTTCGCTCCGAAGCCTCTCTCTTTCCTTCCCTTCTCTCGCGGAGTGGGACCGAGTAGGGTAGCACTTAGCAGCAACGTCACAATCGCGCACCCAGCCACCCGCCCTAGAATACCCAGCAGCAGCCATGGCGACAGCAGCGGCTCGTCCGCTCGTGACAGTTCAGCCGTACGACGAGGCCGGCGCGCCGCAGCAGGCGGCGCTTCCCGCGGTGTTCCTCGCGCCGATCCGCAGCGATGTCGTTAAGTTCGTGCACGCGATGGTTTCGATGAACAAGCGCCAGCCGTACGCCGTCAGCACCAAGGCCGGCCACCAGACGTCCGCCGAGTCCTGGGGTACCGGTCGCGCCGTGTCGCGTATTCCCCGCGTTCCCGGCGGCGGTACCCACCGCGCGGGACAAGGAGCCTTCGGTAACATGTGCCGCGGCGGCCATCTGTTCGCACCGCTCCGCATCTGGCGCCGCTGGCACCGCAAGGTGGATATTCTGACTCTTTCCCCGCTATAGCAGAAGTTCCGATATAGTTACGGCAGAGAACATGTAGTTTGTTAAGTGGTGCTTACATTAGGCTAGCGAGGTAGCGAGGCATGCGAATTCCTCAATTTCAGGACCGTTTTTCTCTCCGCGTGATTACGGGCTTGCGAACGCGCTAGGTTTCTGGAGCTACGAGTATCTGGAGCCTGGTTATCAGGGCTAGGTGTAGATTGCACGGATTTCCACGAAGATCGGAGGAGATGGTCTGTCAAACGCACGAAGCAGGTCTGTTGACGCGGTACAAGCGATGCTGAAAATCCCGTTGCGCGTATCTACACCTAGCCCTGGGAGATTGAGCTTTTGGGGAGGCTGACCGCGCTCGGTCTTAGCTGTGTCATGAGCGGATGAAATTAAGCAGGAGTCGCGATATTTTGCTCCGGAGTGTTCTCTCGTGGCTAGGCTCAGCCTCTCCCCTGCGGCTTTCCTCCTCCTCACAGAATGCGCGGAATGCACACCGTGTTCATGGCTAGAGTCGTCACACGCCGTTCCGAGACGTCACCTAACTTGACCCAAATCATGCCCTAATTTCAACTATCCGATATAGCAAGGTCGCGGTTGAGTGATCGATGTCCATGCGACCAACGCGATGGTTGCACTGACATCGATCGTCAGCACGGTAGCGTGAGGTGTCGATCATCTTGTTCATGCCCTTGGCTAGCTTTTCCCGTCAGGTCGGCAGAAAAATCCGGAAGCAGAATTCGTTGGCCCAAGCAACTTGCACGTTTTTCAACTGAAACAAAACCTATACCAACGTTTTCATCTTCAAGTGTCGAACTTAACCGTCGACACGCTTTAACATTCGCAACCCCGTGTCCCATCCCCCCGGTACCCCCCACTCCCCCCACTCCCCCGCTTCCGCCACTCTCCCCTTTCCCCCGTGCCCCTGCAGGTCCCCATCAAGATGCGCCGCCATGCGGTCGCCTCCGCCATTGCCGCCTCCGCCGTGCCCGCTCTCGTCCAGGCGCACGGCCACGCCGTCAGCAAGGTACGCAGTGACGTCAGCAAGGTAACGCGCTCTGACGTCAGCTATACAGTACGCACGTGCGTTTTCCCTCCCTTCCCCCTCCTCATCTTCATCTCCCCCTGTCCCACCATTTCCCGCTCGTTTCCCCTTGTCCCCCCGCTCCCCCGTGCCCGCTCTCCTTTCTGTCCCCGTTTCAACCTTGCTCCCCGTATCTGTTCCCCGCTTCCTTCTTCCCCTTTTTCCCTCTGTCCTCCCGTAAATCACCCTTCTTCATGCATATCCTCCCTGTCCCCCTGCTCCCCCGTGTCTCCCCCTCCTCCACCCCCTCCGCCCCTCCTCCGCTTATCCCGCTTTCTCTCCCCGCGCGCATCAGGCGCCGGAGCTGCCGCTGGTGGTGGGCAGTCGACAAGACGTCGGCGGCGGTTCCTCCTCCCGCCCCCTTTATTCATACATATCTCTCATGTCCCCCCGAACCCCTGTCCTCCCTCCTTCCCCCACCCGCCCTTCCTCTTCCTCCCCCTTCCCCTCCCTTCTCCCCTCCCCCTCCCCCTCCCTTCTCCCCCTCCCTTCTCCCCCTCCCCTCCCCCTCCTCCCCCCTTTGTCCCCGCGCGCGCCAGGCGCCGGAGCTGCCGCTGGTGGTGGGCAACGAGATCGAGTCGGTCGACAAGACCTCCTCCGCGCTGAAGGCGCTGAAGCGCATCGGCGCGTACGATGACGTGGCGAAGGTGATCGCGACGAAGAAGATCCGGCCCGGCAAGGGCAAGATGCGCAACCGGCGGTACCTGAGCAAGAAGGGCCCGCTCATCGTGTACGGCACCGACGGCGCCAAGCTCACCAAGGCCTTCCGCAACATCCCCGGCGTGCAGGTGCGCGGAAGAGCTGATGTGCGGGTGAAGGGGAGGAGAGATGAGCAGGGGATGGGGAGAAGTGAGGCTTTCAAGAAAGGCCCTCCCATGGCCGTCTTTCGTGTACGGCACTAACGGCGCCAAGCTCACCAAGGCCTTACATCCCCAAGCGCAGGATGTGTGCGGGTGATGGGGTTAGCGCAAGAGCGGGTGAGCGCAAGAATGGGTGAGCGCAAGAATGGGTGAGCGCAAGAGCGGGTGACCGCAATTGCGGGTGGCTGGTGAGCGTAAATGCGGGTGAGCGCAAGAGTGGGTGTGCGCAAGAGCAGGAGAGGGGGAGAAATCAGCCGCAGCAAGGGCAAGATGTGCAACTGGCCGATCCCTTGCCCTTCTCCTTCCCTCCCCTCCCCCCCTCCCCTTCTCTTCCCTTCCCCTCTCCCCTCTACCACGTCCCGCCCTCCCCTCTATTCTTTCCCCTCCTGCTCCAAGTCGTAGCTGTCTAGAAGCTGAGCGTGCTCGACCTGGCCCCCGGAGGCCATGTCGGTCGGTTCGTGGTGTGGACGCAGAGCGCGTTCGACAAGCTCTCCTCCTCATTCCCCCCCCTGATTTCTCCCTTCCCCTCGACCCTGCGCCCCGTGCACACAGGTGGTGGCGGTCGAGAAGCTGAGCGTGCTCGATCTGGCCCCCGGCGGCCGCGTGGGTCGCTTCGTCATCTGGACGCAGAGCGCGTTCGACAAGCTCGAGGGGCTCTTCGGGTCGTTCTCGCAGGCGCCCACCATGAAGCGCGACTTCCTGCTGCCGCGCGCCGCTATTGTCAACTCGGACATCACGCGCATCATCAACAGCGATGAAGTGCAGGTGCGGGGAGCTTTGTGTGCCATATGGGCATCTGAAGGTTGGAGGTGGGGACGGGTTTGCCTGGGAGGGAGGCGGGTAGGGGCTTTCTTTCACGCGCGCCGCCATTGTCAACTCCGACATCACGCGCATCATCAACAGCGACGAAGTGCAGGTGCGGAGAGGGAGGGATAGGGCCGAATGGGTGGGGGGGGGCAGAGTCGGGTTTAGAGGCTGGTCGGGTCGTTTAGGGTCACAAGCGCCATCGTCAACTTGGACATCACGCGCATCATGAACAGCGACGAAGTGCAGGTGGGGAGATGGAGGAGGGCGATATGGGCGAGAGAGGGGGAGTGGGGGGGGCAGAGCAGGGTTTAGGTCCGCAGGCGCCTTCGTGAACTGCAACCAAGTGCAGGTGGGAAGAGTTATGGGGGGAAGAAAGTACATGGCTTCCTTACCAGCAGATCGCCACTTCACACACGGTAGTCTCCCTTTTCCTGACGTGCCTAGAAAATTACTTGCATACACCCATCCCTCTGCCCCCCCTCCCCCCACCCCCCCCCCACCCCCCCCCCCCGGCCCCCGCACGCCACTCTCCCCGCGCCCCACTCTCCTGCCCGACCCCCCCGCCCCGCTCTTCCCGCCTGTCACTCTCCCCGCGCCCCTCTCTCCCCGCACGTCACTGTGCTATGCCGCACCCGGACCTCCTCCCGTCACTAACTCCTCTCGCCCCAACCACTTTTTGCCGCTGCACAATCAATTGCAACACATCCGCGTGTGCTCTCCCCATTCTCTCCGCGCGTCACTCGGAGTCCTCCTCCGGTCCTCCCTCCGCCAGCTTCACTCGCCCCCCTCGGCAGCTGCACCTTCTCAACCGCAACCCATCTGATTGTGCCCCACCACCACTCCAACCGTAACCAACCTCTCCATATCACCTCTGCATCCCGGCTCCTCTATCGCCACCCAACAGAGCGAGCGCCACACTGCTTAATCTCCGTGGCTATTACTGCTTCAACGCCATGTTTCCTCCGGTCCTGCCCTGTCCCTCCCTTTCAGAGTGTGTGCCGGCCCAAGAGGGCGGCGCCCAAGCCGCTGCACCGCCTGAAGCGCAACCCATCCACTTACCACCACTTCACCCTTTCTAACCCCTCTGTCTCCCCCCTACCTCCCCCATCTCTCTCTCCCCCCCTCCAGAGTGTGTGCCGGCCGAAGAGGGCGGCGCCTAAGCCGCTGCACCGCCTGAAGCGCAACCCGCTGAAGAACCGCACCACCATGGCCGTGCTCAACCCCTTCGCCGCGGACAAGCGCAAGCAGCTCGCCGAGGCTGCCGGCCAGCCCAAGACCAAGAAGGCCCGCGAGGTGAGTGGTTGACTGGGTTGACTTGGTTGACTTGGTTGACTGAGTACATGGTTGACTAGATTGACTTCGGTTTCTTGTTTGACTGGGAGAAGCGCGAAGTGAGTGTGACTGGGGTGCCTTGTTTTGCCTCGGTTGAGTGGGTTGACTTTGGTTTACTGGGATGACAGGTGGATTTTGTTTTACTGAGATGGGGGGTTGATGGGTGAGGGTGACTGGATTGGGTTGACTCTGGACTTCCGGTGTCTTGTTTGACTGTATGTCTCTTCTGATTGTCCACCAGCATCAGTCTTATTGCCTCCGCCCCCATCTGTTCCCCATCCATTCTCTTGCTCGTCTGTACAGACGGAGGAGGCCAAGAAGGCGGGAGAGGCGTGGTACCAGACCATGATTTCAGACTCGGACTACCTCGAATTCGAAAACTTCACCAAGTGGCTCGGCGTGTCTGAGTGAAGTGTTTAGTACAGTATTGCCAACTGAAATGTGATGCGGATAAGTTTTTCTTTTCTGTATTCACTAAGAAGGGCAGGGCTGAGCAAGAAGAGCTCGTTTTCTGGCAAGGGATGGTGGAAGTCAAGTTTTAATACTTGTGTTCCGAATTATTGTAGTTGTGCCAAAGGAACCACTGGTATAGATCCATTGGTATAAAATACAGGTTAATGTTGATTGAAAAGAATAATGTAGTAGGGTTTTCGAAGCACTTTGTTTACAGCGAACTTTCTTCGGTATTCTCTGCAGTTTCCGAGGATGTTAATTGCACGACGGAAATTAGTGAAATAGTAAATTAGTGAAGAATTTGTCGCACCGCGAGCAAAGACACACCTCTGCTCCGCACCTCTTCAAAGACAATGGCAGCCCTTACGAGGCTCTCAGGCGGCTCGATCGCCGCCAACTTGCTGCGAAGTCGCAGCCACCGCGATCGCCGGTCGCTTTCCGCCAACCGCGATTCGCCGTTGTTGTTGTCACTGGCAGGCGGAACAGCGCACGCTCGGATCTCCAGGTTAGTTAGAATACTCACATGCAAGCAACAGCCGAATGACAGGGCACCGCTGCCAACCATTCTGGGCACATTGTCGTGAGAAGAAAAGATGCTTAGTGACCGTGCGAATGCGCGAGATCCGTTGGTTTTTCCATAACCAAATTGTGTCGTAAGAAAAAATGGGCGTTTCTTAGCGACTGCGAACGCGCCGAATCCGCGGAGCTAGGCGGATCCGGGATCCCGGGATTGCGGTGCACTTTCAGGTCCCGGCGGTCGTCGCAAGTCCCGCGTCTCTCGACGTATCCGCCTCTCTCCTCGTGCCTTGTGCTTTGATGTCCGTCTACGCCCATCGTAGATGGACTAGCCACGGGGCTCGTGGCTAGTCCCGGTGGCTCTTGGCCTCGTATCTCGTTGCTATTTCGTCCATCGTGCCCGCCTCTTTTCATCGTTCCTTCTTCCATTTTCGCCCGTGCTTCTCCGCTATCTTTCCGACGGCGGTTGTCGTCGCTAGTCCCGCGACTCTCGACAATTTCCCGCTTCCGTTCACGACTGGAAATGGGATCTGAGGATCCGACCGTGTCTCGCCCGCCTTAGTACGCCGCTTCTCTATTTGCAAGCAAACCCTCTTTCTTTTTCCCTTCACCCGATCTACCCTACCCGCTGCTGCCTCTGTGTTTTGAATCCACTCAAACACGCCGTTTCTCTATTGGCAGGCAGACCCACCTTCCTGTTCCCTCTCCACGATCTACCCGGCCCGCTGCTGCGTCTGCCTCGGCCTCTGCTGCCGCCGCTGCCGCGCCAGTCAACAGATCTGTGACTATGGAGGGAGTGACTATGCGCGTGCCGCCTCCCCCGCATCCCACGTGTGACGTCATGATGTCCGTGAAAGCCGCTTTGGAGGAAGACGCTGGCGATCTCGGTGTGTGGGGGACAGGATTGCGTGGAAGGGGCGAGTGCACGAGTGACAGGTGGTCGTGAGTGATTGAAGTGGTCCTTCCTGCGAGGGCAGCAGGCAATTCCCCCTTTGTGCTGTCTGTCTCACGTTTATGATGGCCGTGAAAGCCGCTCTGGACGAAGACGCGGGCGATCTTGGTGCGTGGGGGACAGAAGCCTGAAGGGCGTATTAGGGACGAGTGGAGTGGGTGAGTGAAACGTCCTCCCCAAAAAGACCTTCTTGCGAGCGCAGCGCAGGCAATCGCTCACTTGTGATTTCTGACACATGTGTGACGTATGAGGGTGGGTGGAAAAGCTGCTTTGGACGATGGCGCTGGCGATCTCGGTGCGTGGCGTGGGGTGGGGGAGAGGAGTGCGTAGTAGTAAGGACGAGTGCGCTCCGCTCCATGATGAGACGTCTCAAACCCCAACTTTTATCCCGTGGCCGTGAAAGGCGCTCTGGATGAAGATGCTGGGCGACGCCGCGATCTTGGTGCGTGGGGTGGGGGATAGGAGAGGAGGGCGTGGGTGGGTGGTTGAGTGAAGGCATACCCTCCCCTTCCCTTCTTTCATCCTGTCTCGTCTTCCCCTCTCCCGCCCGCCCCCCCTCGCCTTTATCATCCCCCCATCCCACCAGGGGACGTCACGATTCTGGCGACCATCCCAGCAGCCATGCAGGCGAGCGCACAAGCATACCCTTTCCCCTGCTGTCTCGTCTCCCCCCTTTTCTCCCACCTTCCCCCCTCCTCCCCCCCCCGCCCCCCCCCCCCCCCCCCCCCCTCCCTCATTGCCTTAGGGGACGTCGCCTAGCGACCATCCCAGCGGGCACACAAGCATACCCTCGCTCCCTCCCAACCCCTCTCCAGTCTCGTTCCCCCGCTGTCTCTTCTCCTCCCATCTCTCTCCCACCCCCCTCTCATCCCCCCAGGGGACGTCACGAGTCTGGCGACCATCCCAGCGCACAAGCATACCCTTTCCCCTGCTGTCTCTTCTCCCCCTTTTTCTTCCCCCTCCCCTCTTCCTCCCCTCCTCCCCCCCCTCCCCCCTCTCAACCCACCAGGGGACGTCACGAGTCTGGCGACCATCCCAGCGGGCACGCAGGCGAGCGCGAAAGAGGAGGGCGTGTTGGCGGGCACACAACTTACCCTTCCTTCCTGTCTCGTCCCCTCCCCCCTCTCCCGCCCTCTCCAGGGGACGTCACGAGTCTGGCGACCATCCCAGCGGGCACGCAGGCGAGCGCGAAAGAGGAGGGCGTGTTGGCGGGCACACAACTTACCCTTCCTTCCTGTCTCGTCCCCTCCCCCCTCTCCCGCCCTCTCCAGGGGACGTCACGAGTCTGGCGACCATCCCAGCGGGCACACAAGCGAGCGCACAGTTCCTGGCGAAGGAGGGCGGCGTGCTGGCTGGCACTGCGCTGGCCACGGCTGTGTTCCGACTGCTGGATCCGAGCATTCAGGTGAGAAGGGGTGGGGCGAGGCAGAAGAGTGGGCTTGAGTGCGCAGTTCCTGGCGAAGGAGGGAGGAGTGCTGGCTGGCACTGCACTCACCACCGCTGTGTTTCGACTGCTGGATCTTGTTTTGAGTCGACTCAAAACACGACTCTTAGAGTTCAGGTAAGAGAGGGGAGAGGAAGAGCGGGGTGAGGAGTAGCTACGGAGAGGTGAAGGGTTGTAATAAGGTGAAGGTTCCTGTTCTTGAATGGGTGCCTGGCGAAGGAGGGGGGCATGCTGGCCGGCACTGTGCTCGCCACTGCTGTGTTCCAGCTGCTGGAACCGAGCATTCAGGTGAGCGAGGGCAAGGGGAGGGTGGGGTGAGAGGTGAAGGGGATGATGTGCGGCAGGGGCTCAGCATTCAGGCGAGCGTTCAAGGGGCGTGTTGGCTGGCACTGCGCTCGCCACGGCCGTTTTTATATTGATTTTTCAAGTGCTGAATTGTGTAGTGGATCGGAATGTGTACTATGTGTTTTTTAATTTGCATGCAGTTTTGGATCACTTTGCCTAGTGACAACTCTGTCTGTAGATACTGCAATGCATGTAGTCACAGATATTCTGCATCGGATTGTTATTGCATGTGGGCTATGGAAGTCACCTGCATGTTGATCATTTGCTGCACGGCATGGTGCATGCGAGCAGGTGGAGTGGAGCAAGGAAGATGGGGACACGGTGCAGAAGGGCGAGGTGTTTGCCACCGTGCAAGGTGAGCTCGCTCAACTGGTTGGGTGCTGGGAGGTCGGCTGCTGGGCTGCTGGGCTGCTGGGCTGCTGGGCTGCTGGGGGGAAGGGGCTCATATTGCAATGCGGGCTGCTGACTGCATGTTGGAAGCAGGGAGATATGGCACGAGATGGGAAGATGGAGACACGGTGAAGAAGGGCGAGGTGAAGAAGGGCGAGGTGAAGATGGAAACCCATCCTCTCCCCCCACCCCTCGCGTTACCCCACCACGTGCAGGGTCGGCCCATGCCATCCTGCAGGGCGAGCGCGTGGCACTCAACTTCATGCAGCGCATGAGCGGCATTGCCACGTCCACCAGGGTGAGTCAGCATTGCCACGTCCACCAGGGTGAGTCAGCATTACCACGTCCACCAGGGTGAGTCAGCATTGCCACGTCCACCAGGGTGAGTCAGCATTGCCACGTCCACTAGGGTGAGTCAGCACTGTTAGAGGCTGGGACAGGTCGGCTGATGGCTGAGTCAGCAGAGGGAAGGACGAGTCAGTACAGGGAGGCCTGGGTTAGAAAACAGTTAAGCGGCTGAGTGGGTGGGTAGTGAGTGGGTGAGTAGTGAGCTGGTGGGTAGTGAGTGGGTTTATTGGATGGGCGGACAGAGTGGTAACATGGTAACATGGTAACATGGTGCACATAGCAACTTCCTGTCCCTCCCTTTTCCCTCTCCTCCACCTCTCCCCCAGATTTCCTACCCTCCTCTCCCTGCCCTTCCCCCTGCTCTCTTCCCCTCCTCTTCTCCTCCTTCCGCCCACATGCCAGCCCATGGTGGAGGCAGCCCGCTCTGCCACAGCAACTTCGCTTCCCGCATTTTCCCCCCTCTCTCCCTGCCCTTCCCTGTTCCATCTACCCGCTCCCACTTTCGCCCCGCATGCCAGGCCATGGTAGAGGCAGCCCGCCCTGCCACAGTGCTAGAGACACGCAAGACCGCCCCGGGACTCAGAATCACAGACAAGTGGGCGGTGAGTGTTGTCTCGTAGCACACTTGCAAAGCTGTGAATCTCTCTATCTGTCAACCTGTCGACGAGAGTTGGCTACAAGAGTGTGTTGGTTTGAGGGGGGCGGAATGGCTTGACTAGGAGGCGTTTTGGGCATTGTCAAGAAACGCCTGCAATAAGAAGGGTATGGAGTGGCTTGACTAGGAGAAGTGTAGCGGCCAGGGGTTGGTTCTGAAAATCGTGTGGGGGAAGTTGAGTGGCTTGAAGTGTGGCATGAGAAAGCAGGATTTGAGCCACCGGAAATTTATCTCCCATACGCCAAGAGCACCAAGAGAGAGCAAATGTGGAGTTACTTTCATGCCTCTCACAAGTGCTGATAGGCGGGAGGCGGAGCCACCGCGTGGGGCTGTACGACATGCTGCTGGTCAAGGACACCCACATCGCTGCTTGCTGAGTTGTCAAACCATCCCGACCGTACCCTACCCTAACTCCCACTGTCCCACCTCACCAGGTGCTTATAGGAGGCGGGCAGAACCACCGCGTGGGGCTGTACGACATGCTGCTGGTCAAGGACAACCACATCGCTGCTTGTTGTCGTCAACCCATCCCAACCCTACCGTACCCTGACCCCCACTCTCTGCCCCAGGTGCTGATAGGAGGTGGTCAGAACCACCGTCTGGGGCTGTACGACATGCTGCTGGTCAAGGACACCCACATCGCTGCTGCCGGCGGTGTGCCCTCCTCCACTAAGGGATCACTCCCTACGTTTTGCCCATTGTTACCCTGCGCCTGCACTCTCTGCACTCCCTGCACTCCCTGCACTCCCTGCACTCCCTGCACTCCCCCAGGTGCTAATCTAGGGAGGGCAGAACCACCGAGTGCGGCTGCACAACATGCTGCTGGCTTCTCAGTCAGCTATGGGATCATCCCTCTCGTTTGCCCTTTCTCACTCTGTTCTGCCCCACCACCAGGTGCTGATAGGAGGGGGTCAGAACCACCGAGTTGGGCTGTACGACATGCTGCTGGTGAAGGATAACCACATCGCTGCTGCTGGCGGTGTGCCCGCAGCTATCAGCTCTGCCAGAGAGTACATCCGATCCAACGGCCTGGATCTCCCGGTGGAGGTGAGTGCAGGGGGGATCGAGAGCAGGTGGCGGCTTGAGGGGGGGGGGAGCGTAGATGATGGTGCGCCTGCCAGTGTGCCCGTTGCCATCAACGCTGCCAGAGAGTACATTCGATCCAACAGCCTGGATCTCCCCGTGGAGGTGAGTGAGGGCAGCCGGGGGGAGTTAGTACGTGGCGGTGTGAGTGGGGAGAGTGAGTAGGTGGCAATGGCGGTGACAATGGCGGTGGCGGTGGTGGTGGATCTGACTCCATCCAGCCATTCAACCATCCAGCCAATTACTGGCCCGAATTGTTGGGTGGGGACGGAGGGATGCTGCTGGGGTGCATGGTGGGCTGGGTCACTCAAGCCATGCTGGGAAGCATCCTGGCTTTGCAGCCAGTTTTATGCCCTCCCTCCCTCCCCTTCACCTCCACACCCACCCGCCACTGCAGGTGGAAGCGCGCACTCTGGATGAGCTGCAGGAGGTGCTGCGGTGCCGTGGGGAGGGAGTGGGGCGGGTGACAATTTCTTATTACTCCCCTCTCCCTCTCTCCCTCTCTGCCGCCCGTATTTCCCACCCCAGGTGGAGGCCCGCACTCTGGATGAGCTTCAGGAGGTGCTGAGATGCCGTGGGGAGGGAGTGGGGCGGGTGATAACCTCTTGTTACTCCCTCTCTCCCTCTCTCCTGCCTGCACTTACCACCCCAGGTGGAGGCCCGCACCCTGGATGAGCTCCAGGAGGTGCTGAGGTGCCGTGGCGAGGGAGTGGGGCGGGTGACGAGGGTGATGCTGGACAATATGGTGGTGCTGCGGCGAGGGGGAGGGGACGGCGGAGGCGCAGTGCATGTGGATGTAACCATGCTGCAGCAGGCAGTGGATCTGGTGAAAGGACAGCTGGAAACGGAGGTAGGATGACTGGAGGATGGGGGGAAATGGGCGGAAAGATATGGGTGCATGTTTGTGGAGATTTAGGTGGTGTGGAAGTTCATGCTTGCTGCTTGTCTGTTGTTTCTTTTGCAGGCGTCGGGCAACGTGACTTTAGAGACTGTCGGTGCTATTGCTGCAACCGGTGTTGATTTCATCTCAAGGTTAGTTCTATGGGTTTCTTGTCTGCATGTTTGTCGATGGTATTTTCTATATTTTTTTAGTGTGCATTTTCTAATGCCAACCTTGTGCTTCTGTGTTGTGCATACAGTGGTGCTTTGACTCATTCTGTAAAAGCGCTAGATATCTCGCTCAACATTGACACAGAGCTTGCACTAGACGTAGGCCGGAGGACAAATCGTGCTTAGCCAAGAAGGTAAAACAATTTGGGCTCCTCAATCCTGATCCATGCTGTGCAACCACTTATATATGTAGGAATGGCCATCAAGGTCAAATTTCGGCAATATCGGAGATCTCCATATCGGCAATTCCCGCGGTAGCCGTTGAAAAAGCCGCGTGAGCTTTTCGTCGGCCAAGCTGGAATTTTCGCAAACAGCGTGTCAAGCAACTGGCAACCTCCGCCAGTGAGAACCCAAAAGCGCTGGTTGGAAGCTGGGTTAGAGCTGGTGGAGCTCGGTCCGCTGGTTTGCATTGCATGTTGCACTTGCTGCTTTTCCCTCATAATGCTGTTCTAGATTCTCCCCTCCCCCACCTCACCTGCTAGTGCTTGCATTGCAGCTACATCAATTCAAACTGGCCAAGTGCAGTGCATTTTGTAAATCCTTCGTTTCCATGGAGCTCTGGAGACCGTGCATGTGTCAGTGCTGATGTTCATTGAGAAAATTGGCTGTCCCTTGGTACGAGAACTTCATTCGCTGCTAGGTGGTCGTTGATTGCTAGCTGCATGTCAGATGGCGAAAAGGTCGAAGGAAGTAGGAGAAGCAGTTTGCAATGGCGAAGTGCGTCCCCTCTTGGATGACCAGGCCGTTTCTTCGTCTCAATATGGTTCGGTAGTCCATCCTGGTCTTGATTCCAATGACGACCCGGGCCCGAAGGAAGCTTTAGCACGATGCCTTTCCAAACCGATTCAACATGAAAGCTTAGATTATGAGTGAGTGGGACGTTTTGCGCTTCGCTTCATTTAGAGACGATTCCATGAATATGACTTGACGTAGTTATCGCTTTCCGTTCTTTTCAGGGTCCTTGAGTCTGCGATTCACGACGAGGACTGGCGCTCAAGAACGCGAGTAGAGCACCTCCAGTACACATTGCTCAAATGGCTCTTCGTCCTGCTCGTTGGCGCTGCAACGGGAGCTGTCGCTTTTTTCATAAACATGGGTGTCGAGAACATCGCAGGCTTCAAGTACCAGATGGTCCGTAAATACATGAAGACCGAAAGGTGAGCCTCGATTGTGCTGTCAATGACTACGTTAGTCCTTCATGGACTCTGATGCTACTACCGCTACGGCCTTACTCTCATCCCCGTCTTCAGTTTGTTTGCAGGCTTTCTAATCCTAGTGTGCTCCGACGTCTCTCTCGTCCTCTTCTCCTCGGTCCTCTGTAATGTAATTTCGATGGAAGCTGCCGGTTCTGGTATCCCGGACGTCAAAGCGTATCTCAACGGAGTAGACGCACCAAGAATATTTGCAGCCAAGACACTGTTTGTCAAGGTACTGAATTTTTTTTTTATCTTTAATCGTTGTAATGAGAGAATGGCTTTTAATGCCTGGATTTGTCTTGCTCCTCGCAGATCTTCGGAAGTATAGGCTCTATCGCTGGTGGTCTTGCAGTGGGAAAGGAAGGTCCGCTTGTTCACACAGGGGCGTGTATTGCAAACGTTCTTGGTCAAGGTGGCTCCCGGAAGTACCATCTCACGTGGAAATGGTTGCGGTACTTCAAGAATGACAGGGACCGGAGGGATCTGGTGACATGTGGTGCTGCAGCAGGTGTTGCTGGTGCCTTTAGAGCTCCTGTGGGTGGTGTGCTCTTTGCCCTGGAAGAAGCAACCTCTTGGTCAGTGAAGTTGCTTTTGGTCACTGTCTTGATTTACTGAAGAAAAGCCTCATTGGAGCCTTCGTTGTTGCTTTGCTGTGCAGGTGGCGAAGTGCCCTTCTCTGGCGAGTCTTTTTCACAAATGCCGTTGTGGCCATGGTCGTCCGTGCTCTCATGACCTATTGTGCCAATGGACACTGTGGGCTTTACAATGGCGGAGGGTTCATCATATTTGATCATACAGAGGCGAAAACGGAGTTTGGTGTGGTGGAAATGTTTCCAGTCATTGGGTTGGGAATCATTGGAGGAATTGCGGGGAGCATTTTTAACCAGCTTAACCTCTCGCTATGCAAGTTGAGACAGCAAGGAAGCAGGTAAATGGGTTGCAATATCATCTGTTCCCTGTCACTCTGGCCTTGATTGTTGATTTTGTAGTCTCACTGCTGCATTCAACTTCAAAATTCTTCTTTGTTTCAGGCGTGGAGTATGGAAAATTGTGGAGGCATGTGCAGTGGCAACATTGACATCCGCAGTTAGATTCTCCGTGCCGTTCCTAGTCAAGTGTCAGCAATGCCCGGATGGGATTGAATGCCCCAGCAAGACAGAGATGGGGTATTACAAGAGCTTCACTTGCCCGCCGGGCCACTACAACGACATGGCTGGCCTGCTGTTTACACCCAACGATGATTCCATTCGAAGCCTTCTCAGCAGCGGAACCCATCATGCATTTTCGTGAGCAATCAACTACCTCACTACAAATCTCCACTCCGCACCTCGCACTTGGGTCGCTCTTCACCCTACATTTCTGTAATCTGGGTTTCTCACCGTTTGGTGCCTTGTCCTGCAGGTTCACCTCACTTGGCATTTATTTCTTCTGCTTCTACTTCTTGTCCATCCTCACATATGGCATCACTGTGCCATCGGGCCTTTTTGTGCCTGCAATTGTCTGTGGCGCAACTTACGGCCGCGTGGTTGGAAGAATCATGTCCAACTATGCACCAGCAGACAACCTGGATGAGGGGACGTATGCACTCATTGGCACAGCGTCTTTCCTGGGAGGGTCCATGAGGACAACTGTCTCTCTATGTGTGATTCTCCTGGAGCTGACTGGAAGCCTAAAGCTTCTCCCACTCATCATGATTGTGCTGCTGGTCTCAAAGACGGTCGGCGACATGTTCAACAGCGGGATCTATGATGCGCACAACCAGCTGAAGGGGGTCCCGTACCTGGAGGCTCATCCAGAGGAGGCCATGCGTCATTATACTGCCAAGGACATTCTAGTGTCGGAGCCGGTGAAGTTTTCAGGCGTGGAGAGTGTGGAGCGGATATACGATACACTTCGTACTACAAACCACAACTCTTTTCCAGTCATTGACACCCACGAAGATGGCTCAACATCCTTCTACGGACTTGTCTTGAGAGGTCATCTCTTGGTGCTCCTACGGTCAAAGCAGAGCTTTCTGCTCCATCCGCATCAAGTGTCTGAAACTGCCCAGAAGCACCTTGCAGCAGAGGATTTTGGTAAGCCAGGATCAGGGAAGGGGCTGAAGCTGGAGGACATTCAACTGAGTGAAGAGGAACAAGGAATGTTCCTAGACTTGCATCCTCTAGCCAACAGATCTCCATACATTGTGCCTGAGAGCATGTCTCTCAACAAGGCATACATGCTCTTCAGACAGTTGGGCCTTCGTCATCTTTGTGTGGTTCCCAAGCCGACTCACGTTCTGGGCATCATAACCCGCAAGGATCTGCTGCCTCAGAATTTCAGTGAGCGGAATGTGTCTCAGACTTCATTAGTTTAGGAGTGGAATCTCTCATTCATCTGCCCAATCAACAAATGACCGCTACTCGGGGGACATACCGTAACAATGGTACATATAAGGGCACCAGACCAGGGGTTGACATAAGCCGACCTAATAAGGGGGTGAAATACCATTCTCCACCCTAAAAGCTGACCTTGTGATAGAAAAAAACTATACCACTAGCTACAAACCCGAAACCTTCACAGCTGGTGTCAATGGCCATTTTTACTAATGTGGACAAATTCAAGTGCCACACGATCAGGAGAAAATTGTACATTTGCTTTGAAAGGAAGCCCTGTCTTGGGCCTGGGAAAAGGTTTTGAGCTTATATTTGGGGTTGTTCTTATGGCGGGTATTTTAGTCTTCTGTGGCTGCTGCTCCTTTCTTTCCTGTGATATTTTGTGTTTCATTCATTCCTACAAGCCTCAGACGTGAGAAGAATTGCGTGAGGAATACCGTACATGCTGAGTTGCCGCCTTGCCCTTGCTTCTGTTCCTTCCGCAGTGATATGCAGTGTGATCTCCATAGATCAGCGACCCGCGGACCTCGTAATTCGGAATAATGTGGTAGTCGTCCACGTAATGGCTCTTATACGTTACCTGCCTACTTTCTCAAGGCGAACTCGACACCTACTAAGCAGCGTCCGCGCTCGCACTGGTACCTTTCTATTGAATCGAGACCGGCATCCCTTGGACAGGTTCTCCCATCGCCGACATTCTGTCCAGTGCTCATAGCCGCTACATTTCCTCGTGACACGTGCCGCGTGGAATGTCCACCTCTCTACCTTATGCGGTTTATGAAACACGCGGATCTGAGGAGGACAATTTCCGTACGTATAAGGCGAAAAATGGCTTTCTACGCAGAGGAACAATTCGGCAGTCCTGTCAACCCGAAACTTCAAGTGAAATATATTTCCTTCAGGAGTGGAATGGCGAAACAACCAGACGAAGAGGTTTCTGGCGAAGCTCAAGGTCTGAACAAGTGTACCAGCGAAATATCCGAGCTCGTGATGACGTCTCGAGAAGTACGGTATTGCTGAGAAACCACCCCGATTCAAGGAAAAGGTTTCAGATATGAAACTGAGTCCACAGAGACGAGAATGTGGAGGATGAATGATCAAGCCTATCGTGCCAAAAGCGTTTCTCATGAAGGTTCAAGAGAGGGTGGAAGAGTCGAGCACAATACACTCGTGACCAT